GCTTTCCATCATTTTTTTTAAGCACTTTTAAAAAAAAATTTGTATCCACTTTAGAGTCACTAACCATGTTTTCTTTTTTCTTTCCTGAGGCAGGGTTTCACTATGTAGTTTAGCTTGGTCTTGAACTTGCTCATGTAGCCCAGGTTGGCCTCAAACTCACAGGGATCCTCCTGCTTCAGCTTCCCAAGTGCTGGGATTACAAGCAAATTTCACCATGCCTGGCCAATCATGTCTTTCATTATGATCACCATCTCTGTAATTTTCTCAGAAATTATTTCTGGTTTGATGTTTTCTAGTACCTCATTCATCTACTCTGTTACTTCTGCTGTTACCACTTTAGAGAGTCCAGGTGGGTGGCTTTAGAATTGCTCCACCTCATTGTCCATTGGGTTTGCCTTGGTGAGTTGGAAATCCAGGGTTGCATCTTGCTTAAGTGTCTTCTCATTTTCTATTTTTTTTTTTTTTTTTTAGTTTAATTCCACTGAAATTCAGGCTGGTTTCTGGGTGAGGCTGGAACCTGATTTGTTCAGTCTGCAACACTTTGTGAACCTCCTGCTGACTTGAACTCAGCTCCTTGATCTCCTACTGACTTGAACTTGGTTCTCTCTCTCCCCGACACTGGGAGTACTAGATGGAAGCTGCATCTCCTCCAAGTTCCTAGCTCAGTTGGCTCCGCTTCAAGATGGCTAACAATCACCCCATCCTGGGGGTTGTCTGAACCCAAGTAACTCATGAGCCACAACAGTCTGCTGCATCTACTGCTCCATTCCACTGATGAGTTTTTCTGTGAAGGCCTCTGGAATTGGCCAGTAGTCATCTACAGGTTTGAGCTGTGTTATGGTTTGTGTCTGCATGTCCTCCAAATACTTAGCAGTCATGGGGTGGGCTTCTAGGATTTGTGATTGATCCATGATCCAATGCAGGGATTATGGATGTGAGTGCTATACCCGCCCTGGGGTGGGTAGTTTGCATACAATGTAAGGGAGGGAAAGTGGCTGCTTGCCTCCATTCCTCCCTTTTGCTCATTTTTGCTGTGTTCCACTGCCATGAACCCTTGCCCTCTGCCATGTGCCACTCTACCTTGGAACCAGCCCAGTATGGACTGAAACCTCCACAAACTGTAAGCTAAATAAACCTTTCCTTCCTTAATTTTGGGCATCAGGTATTTTTGTCTCAGCAATGAGAGAAAAGTATCCAAGACAAGCTGCCCCTCCCACATGGTGAGATGGGGCTCAGGGATAAAGTGCTGCTTGCTGCCTCTTTCTTCATTGAGCTCCCCCTCTTCACTCTCCTTATGGGCTTCAATTCTCACTTCAGATCCTTCCTGGGTCCTGGGAACCATTTCTTTCCTTCTCTTCATGTTGCTATACTCCAGTAACTGGACACTGAATCTTAGAAAGGCTGTTTCTCTGCTGTTCTCCACTCTGCCATCTTTTTAGAAGTCCTGTTGTTTTTTGAGACAGGGTCTTGCATTGCACTACATTGTGAAAAATATTTATTACATGAATCTTTATACAGAAAACAATGGATAGTCACTGACCATGTCTTCAACTGTAATTTTCAGAAGACAGGGAGATGGAATTCACAAGGTTGTTTCATTTCTAAAAGCAACTCAGCACTCAGCCTATTCACGACTGAGCTCATGAGAGAGGAACGCATGTCATGGAGAGTGAAATGTAGTAGACATCTGCAGACAACAAAACTAATGATCAATTATTAAAATGAGGACAGTGACTATAGTGTCTGAGACCACAGGACCCATCAGGGGGATAGGGACAAGCTTGCCTGCAGAGACCCGAGTGGCTGACACGATGTGTCTATTCAAAGATGAAGTAAGGCAGGTTGGGCTCAATGCTGTTTCTCTTTCATCAGGGGTTGTCATGAGATTAAGCAAGGTCACTGCAGAATGCACTCTGCCCATCATCCCGGACAAATGCTGAATAGTCATCTTCTTCATGCCTTTCTTTTCTGTAGGCAAAGGGGAGAGCCTGAAGCTTTTTAAGAAATGTAATGAAGTGAGAATTCTGTCTGTAGCAGGATATGATGGCACACATCTGTAATCTCAGTATTCAGGAGGCTGAAACAGTAGAATCATCTTGAATTCACTGCCAGCCTGGGATACAGAGTTCAAGGCCAGTATGAACTACATAGCGAGACCCTGTCTCAAAACAACAGAATTATGTTTGAGGAAAATTACAGATTCAGAAATAATAAAAGCAGCAATTTGAAATTTAGATAAAAATTTATTTGGGTTGGGAACAGATTTAGATGCTAGTGGATCCCCTAATGAAGAGGATGAAACCCCCTTTTATACACAAAGCCTTACCTTTTTGAGATGAGGTTTCACTTTGCAGTTCAGGCTGGTCTTGAACTCACTTTGTAGCCCTGACTGGCCTTGAATTTGCAGTAGTCCTACCTCAGCCTCTCAAGTGTTGGGACTACAGGTGTGCGCCACCACATTCAGCTGAAAGTAATTTTCTCTCAACATTTTTTTTTTTTTTTTTTTTGGTGGTAATCAGGATTGAACCCAGGGTATTTTCACTGAGCTACCTCTCCAGCTACTTTTATATTTTTATCTTGAGACAATGTCTTGCTAAGTTACCCAGGGCAGGCTCAAACTTTTGATCCTCCTGCCTCACACCCCAGAGTTCTGGGATTACAGCCACCAGGCGGAGTTCCTTTCAACATTCTAAGGAAAGTTTTGTGAGCTTTAGCTTTATTTTCAGGTTTATATCTAAGGGATCTGCTTAGGATTCACTGTATAATGCTTGGGTGCAAACACAATTTACTCCCCTCCCTTTATAGCATTAGGGATTGAACCCAGGGCCCCACACATGCTAGGCAAACACTGTACTACTGAGCTATATCCTACATCCCCTTTTATTTTTTTAATCATGAAGATCATATTAGGACCTAGTAAGATGAGAAGCAAGACTTAGGTAATTGTGTGCTACAGTTATTTTGAACAATATAATGAGTTAGGTAGAATTTGTAAGCATTGTGGCATGTGGACTATGACCTGCCTAGGGCAGAAATATTTCTGTTAAGAAAATGCTACCTCCTGTGAGGTAATCTGAATGGTGGGAGTTCTTTCTTCAACTGAGCCTTTTTGGAGGCCTAGAATTCATTCCACTGAAACTATCATCGCTCAGAGTATTTCTGGCTTTTCTCTCTTTGGGGAGGAGAGAGTGCTCAGGGCAGGCGACCAGAAGAGTGGACTCGAGCTTTCGGCAGATGGGTGTCCAGTCACACTTCCTCTGCTGAGAAGTTGCTTCAGTAAATTGAGTCTCTTTTCTATAAAATTGGGGTTTCAACTGTATCTTACATTTAAGAACTCTGAAATTTGTTGACATCTATAGAGTAGGTACTCATGACTCACACAGGTACAAAATGAACATGTACCAGAGTTTAACTATCTGAGAGAACCACAAAAGTGTTAAAACCTGTTATTTTGACTTATTCTCAATGTGATAAAATTCATTTGCATTTATATGGACAGGAATAATTTACATAGCAAAACAAGAAACAGTCATGTTGTTTCCTATAAATCAAACTTTACCTCTATGGAATTGTAAAATAATTCATTCAAAGACACCAGTACATCCTGCATATAGCCAGTGAAGATACTCAGTAATCTCTTTGGCCCATTCCAAACTCTTAAACCTTTCTTGCAGAGCTTAGTTGTGAAGATTTACAAATTAATCTATATAAAGCATACAGCATCCTGATTCAGAGCATACTCAACAAGCACTTTGATCATCACCATTGGAATCTCCTCTGAGTATGCTCTTCTGAACACCCCTCGCAAATGTTTTTCAGCTTTGTAGGGAATATCTATTTTTTTTTAAAACAGCCAAGTTATCTGAAGGCAAATCTGTGAAATATACTGACTCTGCTTTTTAAAAAACGTTTTTGCTTTTCGTTTGGGCTCTATGCCCAGCACAGAAGAGAAAGTTTTTGGTGATTGTGTAATGGGTACTTTCATAGATCGTTGAAACATCCATAGATTGTTAGAAACACTTAAAAAATTAATTGAGTTCAAATGTTTGGGATGTTTATCTTTCCAAGATAAATTACTGGAAATACATATAAAGAATATGTAATGTTTGCTTAAAATTTCACTCTACAAGCTTCCCAACCTGGGCATAGCATGAACACAGCTGTCAGGTGACCAGTGTGCTGGGGAAACCCAGGAATGTACCTGAAGGTGTGTCACATTTAAAGTGGTATTGCACAGGGACAAGCTTATTTGATGAAAATGTTGTCTTGCTTTCCGTGGTGAGGTTTTTACCATAAAAGCAAAATACTATGAGTAAGCTAAATCAGTGTCAGCTGAGCTACATCATTTTCCTTTCCACTTCGTTTTGACACTTAACTTCCCCTTTATGGATGACACATCTAAGCCAATCTTCCCATTAAGAGGTGACTTATGAAATGGAGCAATTTATCCTGTGGGGTTAGCTAAGAAAGTGACTACTCCCTGTGGCCTGGCGTTGGCCAAAATGACCACCTAGACTGGAGCTCCCTAGAATTACAGAACCTTGGGTCCCGCTCTAGCCCTCCCCAGTCAGAATTCACTTTTTGGTGCTAAGGATTGAAAACACAGCCTCTACCACTAGGCTATGCCTCCAGCCCCTGAATCACCTTAGCAGGACACTGGTGTATATATGAAGGCCTTAGAGCTATGCAGACAACAGTTGAGGGCCCACTCCTGCTTGCTCAGCACAATGGAAGACTTGGGCTCTGACCTCAGACTGAATGCTAAATATTTGCTTTATTTCCCACCACTTGCTTACTTCTCAGAGTGCTGGGAGGACCAAACAGGATCTTTGTTAACAAAATCCTCCTCCATCGGGGTCCACCTGCCTGAAGACCTTGTCCAGCATCACTTCCTCTCTTGCTCACTTCAGGATCTTTGCATAGCTGTCTTAAGTCACCGTTCTAATTCTCTGCAAGGCACTTACCACACAATGAGTAGGGAGTTGTAACCTCACATCTGGAACTGTGTACCTGGCATACTATATGCTCAGACATGTTTAATGAATAGCTGAAGTAAAAACACTGAGGAGCAAAAGGCACTAAAGAAGTATCAAGTGCTTTTTTCACTGAGAACTCCCTTGCGTTTGCTTACTTTCTCCTGGAAACAGCTGATGTTCTATCACCTACACATGTAAGTGAAAATCTGCAGACATTTCATCAAGCAAAGACTGGAGAGCCGGTAGCTTTCTTCACATCCGTGTAAGTACTGTGCTGACAGTGCTACCGGAGGTCCATCTTCCTTCACATTTGAAGTATAATCCACTCGCTGCCTATGTGCTTCCTTGGGTGTCACTGTGAGACTCCACATGCACATGAGGACACTTCATCTGTTTCCCTGGAGAAAGGGAGGAGCTTCCATGCGAAAAGAGACTTCTGAGGTCACACTGCAGGAAAGCTATGCTGCTCCGCTCACGGAGCCGGGCCAAGGCTGGCCGGATGGTGGAAGGATGGCCTGGCTGAGCTGCCAGGAACCACTAGGGCTGTGGGCTGGCAGCAGGGAGAACCTGCTTCCAGACTGCAAGCTGAGAGCATCCACAGGCTCCTTTTACCACCACCTGCAATTTAATCATAGCATTACTGGTTTAGCTGTGCTTTTCAGTTAAACCTGACAGAAACTGGTTTCAGTTCAACAATGGATATTCCAAAGGATTAGTTCACACAATGCAGTGAAGTATTGTAGAAGCAGACTGCAGCTATTTTTCTTAATCTATTTACAATTTTCCTACCAGGAAGGTTAGACAAACTCTCCTATTATCACCGAGTTAGGACTAAATAAACCCCACAATCACAGGCAGTGACACCTCTTTTAAGTTATTTTTGCTTCACTTTTCTGAGCTCAAAAAATACCAAGGGAAAGGTGCACAGAATGAGAATCTGTATCAGCCTGATGTGCAGCATGGACAGAGCAGTGGGGTTGAGTGGGCTGAGTTGTCAGGAAGAGAAGAGGCAGGATGTGTTCACAGCAGGTTAGGAACCCCGCCTCAGCTCCTTTCCAGTGTCCAAGTGATCCACAACATCACTGAGCTGCCTGCTGCCCGGAGAATGGCTTATCATTCTTAGGCCCAAAGTGGGAGGAAGGGCTTCTGATATTTCCTCTGAGTCCATCTTCATGCGTATTTACTGCTAGTTTCAAATCAGGTGCACTGCTCCAGAAGCAACGAGAGGTGCAATGGTTCTGTATCGGATCAGGTGCTGTGAGCCCTCCTCTAAGTCAATCACATAGTCCCTGAAAAAGGAGGGAAAAAAATTTACCTGCCCAGCTCAGCTTCCCCTCTATGGGGATTATTTCCCATGGGGAAAGAGATGTCACTCACTTTTGCTCCTCTGCTTCAGGTTCTACCAGTATATTTTCTTGTCGCTCTTTCACTCTTAGAAACACATATGAATCTAGATCTGGTTTGGGAACTGCCAGAGAAAAAGAACAATGCAATCAGAAAATGCATAGGCAAAGTTGCCGTGGTGAATGATATCGAGCACTGAAGAACCTCTGGTGTAAAAGCAGCTTGGGAGGGTGACAGGAGGAGACATCAGATGCTCAGGAAACCACTCAATAACTGAGGTGTTCTTACAATGTGCAGGAATTCTGCCAAGCAGTGGACCCTGATCTGAGCGGGAAACATCTCAAGACCCCCAGTGGATGCTTGAAACTCTGGAAGGAACTAAACTCTACAGAGTAAGTCCCCAACTTAGGAACATTCGAGTTGTTGACTATCAGATACAAATGGACCTCCAATTACATTCATAGATGGGAACAAATCGTGGAAGTAGCCAAGTGTCTGTCGGACACTGTCACAGTTATGCTGCTGTATGCCTACTGTGCAGAGCGACAAGTACTAACTGGAGGAGGGAGGCAGGGGAGATGGCGGAGCTGAAGGATCATCAGCAAGAGGGGATGGAGGGAAAGATGGAATCTGCCCACACTTGATGTTGAAGACAGATTTTTGATGGACTTAATTCTGTTTCCCCTCTTAGAAAAACAATCCAGTGATGTCTGAGTAGTGGCTTTTTTTTTTTTTCTCACGCTAGATGACCCTACCCTTCCTCCTCCTCCAGTCAGTTCATTCCATGCAATCCCCTATATGCTAGTTGTACTGTACCATACCACTACTTTAAGGTAACTATAAAAGTGGTTTATTTACAGCAGTAGTGATCCCTATTGAGGCCTATAATGGGTGGATGAAGGCAGAAAGCCTCAAAAGATAAAATCACAGCCAAGGACACTCGGATCCAATCTCAACTAGAGAAAGACTGTAGCCTCAGGCATCTTACTCCTGGGTAGATTAACTTAATTCCTCACTTGGAGAAGTCCTTGAGTGGTTCTGCCCTTTTTGAGTACTCCCCTCCCTTCTTCTGATAACTAAATAAATACAGGCCACACACAGAAGGTCTTGGTCTTAGCCCAGAGAGAACCTCAAATTCAGTGAGAGGGCTTTGATCTTCCTGGAGCCCTGAAATCATTCCATTTGCCTCTTTTTATTTAGTCTTTGCCATATACTCGTTTGGGAGATTGCGGAGCTGATCAGTCTGCAATAACTAAGAGATATGATTAATCTGATAATATATATACCTATGATAAAGTTTAAATTAAAAATTAGCCACAGTAAGAGGTTAACAGCAATAGTTAACAGAGCAGTTGTATCATGCTATAAAAAAGTTACGTGTGTGTGGTCTCTCTTGAAAGGTCTTACGGAGCAACGCTCATGTTCACCCATGGGGTGCTATAAGGGATGCAGTGCCTTGTGGAAGAGTGACACGGGGACTGTGACACAGCAACAGGCTAGTAACAAGTAGTATTTCCATACAAGCAATGGATTCAGGAAGAGTTCATCTGATAAGAGAGATTTCCACAGGGCATGGTGGCACACACCTATAATCTCAGCACTCAGGAGGCAGAGGCAGGAGGATCACTGAGAGTTTGAGGCCACCTTGGGCTACATGGTGAGTTCAAGGCCAGCTTGAACTGAAGAAGCTTACTTATCTCTTCCTTTGTACCATGTGAGGATATACAGAGGGTACTATGATGTGGGACAGGCTCTTACTAGATATCAAATGTACTGGTGTCTCAAACCTAAACTTCCCAGTCTTCAGAACTGTGAGCAGTCAGATGGACCAAGGAACTGTGTGAGGCCTTGGCGCTTCTAGCATGGCCCCAGCCCACGTAAGGGCACAGATGATTCTCCAGGGAGGCGGGGCCTGTGGCCTCAGCACACCAAGCTGAGCTTGTAAACAAGGTGGGCCCCACCTCCTGGGGAGCTGTTTGACTTGGTCTGGCAACTATGCCTGACAAGGGCTTGCTCAGATACGGCAGACTGTACGCGACTGAGGAGCACAGACTTCTCTGGAAGCCAGAGGCCCTGCTTACTTAGTCTGAGGCTAGGAGCTCCTAACTGCCTCAGCTGAACTCAGGGACCAGTGAAAGGGGGCGCTGAAGCAGTGTCTTGGACAAGCTACCCTTCCCCTGGCTGCTTCCTCTTCTCCATACTCATGCCTGCTCTCTCCTGCCTAATAGACAAACTTCTCACCCGAGATGAGGTGCCCTTACTAGAGACAACAGGAATCCAGAAGGTCTCTTAGTCTCCTGCATTCTAAGATCTGCAAGGTGGACAACCAGCCCCTGCAAGGAAATGTGCGGGTGGAGTGCCCTGTGTCTCCGGGGCTCAGCAGGGCCCTGCTCTTCACAGAGTTTCAGACAGTGCTGATGCGGTGGGTGCTGTGGACATGACGTGATGTCTGTGTCCGCAGCGGCAGCCTCAGGAGTCCAGCCTCTCTGGGAAAACCCAATAGCCACAATGGAATGGGCACTTCTGTCAATGCTTTCTTTGGTTAACCAGAGCCCTTCCTCTTCCTTCTTGGTTCTTATCTGCATACTTAGTTTTCCATATTTGAGAAAAAGGAATGAAGATGAAGATCCTATCAGGCTCCTAAGGATAGGTGATCTCCTCAGTGTGGGCTGAGGAGCTCTGCTTACCTGCCCTCAGGAGGTCCACCTTCTGCAAGTTTGGAGGCATGTGCTTTAAGGCGACATTCTTCAGGTAGGTCTCTGTGTGAGCCATGTACCTGAAATACACAGTGCAAGTCAGCATGGCACACAGGGCTGGTGGGCAGACCTCAGATGAGGCTCTGGCACAGGTGGTGTGGCTATCACCATTGAATTGCGTGCTCAAGCCGAGGACCAAGGCAGTGCCAGTGTCTTGCTCACTCACTCCTTGGCAAAGGCAAACTCCTCTGGAGAGAGGCTGGAGGGCTCCCCTTCAGGTCTTGTTTTCTCCTTCTCAAGGACATGAGGGAAAAACTTCTCTATCTGTGAGAATAAATAAAAATCATGAAAACATTTTTCAGCTGCCAGGAGTCAAGTGTCAAACATAATCATTTAATTTCTCTAATTTTTTTAGGGTCTATGTAGTGGAGCTGGCCTGAAACTCCCTTTACAGCTGACCTCAAACTTGCAATCCTCCCGTCTCAGCCTCCTGAGTGCTGGAACCACAGTGTGTGCTCCCACATTTAGCTCTCAAACACACTTGCTTTCTGAAGGAGGTCAAGAGAAGGGCTAGGGACACAGCTCAGCAGCACGGCGTGGTCTAGCATGTGCCAGGCCCTAGGTACAACTCCTAATATTCCCACATTCTCTCCAGTAAAAAGGAAAACTTGACAAAATGGTAAGTTTTCATGGCTAAGACTCTTTCTAATAACAAGACCTATGCTTGGACTTTAGGAAAATGGGTTTCTGAGAATTCAGAAAAGATAAAGGCTGTGAAAAGGAACACAGCCCCAAATGGAAGTCTTTCATCAAAGAAATAAAAGACACTGAAGAGAAGGTACATCATTTAACATTCTCATGTAATCGTACTGGATGTACTTTTAGTAGCTGAGATACAAAAGCTGAAAAGATGGATACAGAGTCTACAAGCAGACAAAGCAATGATATTTAATTATAATAAAACCAGCATTGAGGTGAGGCTTGGAAAAAATATTTAAGAACTGAAACAATCAACAAACCCAATCCACCCCTCAACAAGACCACAAACTCCCAAAACACCCATAACCAGAAAAAAGTTCAGAGCTACAAAAAGATGTGCATTCAGGAACCAGGAAGGGATCAACATGCTGCATCGTCAGTGCTGTCACTCTATTCTTCGGCTGTAGAGAAATGACAGCTGCGGGGAGGAACAGCAGCACTTACCTGTTTTGGCCAGGACCAACTGTGTCCTGGGGAAAATTAACATTTGTATGGAGGTATTTTTTTTCCTGTCATATGCAAACTGCTACTATATCACCTAGTATATTAAAAATAGATGTAGTTTCATGATCCTGGAAGAATCAGAGATGGTTGAAAGACGACACAAGTAAATCTGGTTTTCCACAATGGAAAGAAAGTGGTGCATCTTCCAATATAGACCAATGTTGGTAAACGGCACTGTATTAGAACAGGTAATTTTAAGAGATGGCTTGTGCCGGGCATGGTGGCACAATCCCAGCACTTGAGAGGCTGAGGAAGGAGGATCATTGTAAGTTCGAGACCAGCCTGGGCTCCAAAGTGAGCTCAAGGCCAGCCTGAACTACATAGTGAGACCCTGTCTAAAAAAGACAAATAAATAATAAAATAAAATAAAATAAAGATGGCTTGTGAAGCCAAAGTAAAGGATATATAGTAGTTAACATGAAGAGGACTTACCTGACCAGTCAAGAGGGGAGAAAAGTAAGTGGCCTGGTAGTTGGGGATCCTGGCATCCTGTGTGTGTACATACATACATACAGACATACCTATATTTTTTTTCTTTTACATCTTTCTTCCATATCTGGGGTTTTTTTTTTTTTTTTTAAATCTGAAAATGTCTTTGTGGCACTGCTGTGGGCAAACTAAACCTAGGGCTAGGCAATAGTATCAACTAGAAAGTGCATAAATGGTTGAATAAAGAATACAGTGGCTACATCAACTGATGGATAAAGTTTTTTTTTATACAATGCCATAAAGAAGGATAAGCCTGAGACATTCCCAGGTAAGTGGATGCACTTTCAGACTATACTCAAGTGAAATAAATCAGATACACATGTTTAAACACCACACTGTTTCTCTGGTGTGAGAAACTGAAAGTGTAAATAAGGACCAAAATGTACAACAGATACTGGGAAATGGGAAGAAAATGCTCAAATGAGAAAGAGAACGAGGGGAAAAGGGGAAAGGAAAGAGACAGGAAAAAAATGCAAACAAAGCTTCTGTAAATATGGAGCGAAAGAGTGGTTGAAAGGAGGGGAGGGGAACAGGATGAAAAGAAGCAGCAAGACCTATTATGCATAGGTACAAGTTCCCTATGATGAATGTGATCATTATGTACATCTAAAATGCACCAACAATTAAAAAAAAAAACAACACAGTGGGTAAGTATCAGACCTCAGGAAAACTGCTGGTGAAATACTTTTATCATTGGCTCAGGGCTCCTTTTTTTAGTTGCTGGGGATGGAACCCAGGGCCTTGCACAGGCTAAGCAAGTGCTCTTTCACTGAGCCATTCCCCAGCCTTGGCTCAGTCCTATTAATGAATCAGATATGATTTTCATGATATACATATAAAAATTGCTGCTTATAAAAAAAAGACATCTTTATGATATACATATAAAAACTGCTGATGAAATAAAGTGTTAAGAGATGGCTATTATGTGACAAGATCAGGGCTGAGAAACAGCCCTTTTCAATAAAATAAAGTTTAAGAAGTATACCCTACACTTAGGGGTCAAAACCCAAGCCATACAGACAGGATGGTGACTGGACAGGGCAATTATAACCTATATACTTCAGGAGGGCTACGGGTGAGTGTGGAAGGAGCTCTGAGTATTGCATCCACCAAGTATGCTAATGTGACACCGGACAGCATCACATCAGTTTTAATTTTCAAGCAACAGAAGCGATCATGCTATTTCACCCAAGTGGCCAAACCACACCTGGGAGACCACCCTGTGTTCCAGGTGGTATAATCTAAGATATGATAAACGAGAGCCTTTCTAGAGAAGAGATCAGGAGAATAAGTGGATTCAGAGTTGGAATGTTTCCCAGAGAAAATACTTGGATGAGAGGTTGTAGGTTGATAGCTGAGGCACTGTCATGTTGAAGGGAGAATGTATTTGATTGTAGAATATGAAGTTATTACGCTCCATTTTGACAGATGGAAAACAATGTTTAAAACTAGCTCTTCCGGGGCTGGGGATCTAGCTCAGTGGCACAAGTGCCTACATGGCAAGTTCAAGGTCCTGAGTTTGATTCCCGGCACAAAAAAACCAAAAAAAAACAAAACTCCTAGCTCTTCCTAGTCAATCTTCCCTATTCAACCAATGCAAATGATTCCACCCTCAGCAGTACCTTTCTGTAATTCCAGGGGACACCACTCATACGAGAAAATCAGACTATAAACGTAGAAAGTGTCCCAGGGTAGTACAACGTATGTTTCAATATGCTTCCCAGAACAATCTCTTGGCTGCCTGACTCTGGCAACACCGATGTTGGGTAATTAGCAGCATCTTCAAGCTTTGGTGTCTCACAGGCCCTGCCCACTGTCTCCCCAGGACATTTGGTCTACATTACACGCACCACTGCCTTAATGCCCACAGGTATTTCTTTCTTTCTTTTTTTTTTTTAGTCTTTTTGAGACAGGGTCTCACTATGTAGTTCAGGCTGGTCTTGAACTCACAACAATCCTCCTGCCACAGCCTCTGAAGTGCTGGGATTACAGGCATGAGCTACCACACCCAGCCCCACAGGTATTTCTATGTCAAACCTTCATGAGTCGACACCGCAAGTAGCTGCTGAGGACATAGCGGATCCTCTCCATCTCCATTCGATGGATACTGATCTTCAGATCTTCCTTTTTGGCTCTTTTGAGATTTTCTTCCTATTAAAAGAGAAATTATGGGCTGGGGATGTGGCTCAGTGGTAGAGCTCTTGCCTTGCATGCACAAGGCCCTGGGTTCCATCCCCAGCACCATGGTGGGGGGAGAGAAATTAAAATTTATTTTAAAAAAGTGTTGGTCAAAGACCAGGGACCACCAGCACTGGCAAAGTTGAGGACGTAAAGACTGCTTCAGTTGAAGGAAAACAAAAAACTAATCATATAAGAATTCGTATGTTCTTTTACTTTTTTAATTATACAAATATGACTACAGTCTCACTGCATAAAATTCAAGCGACATTCATTTACTTTTAGACAATAATTGAACAGAATCTGAATTTGGTCAGCCTGAAGGGCCCAGAAAGACTCCAATCCAATTGTAAAGGAGATAGTATAGCACAGAGAAGAAACATCTATGAGGCCTAAAAGGCAATATTAAAACACTAGCTGAGAAACTGTAAAATACCAATACTTTTAAAAAGACTCTGAAGTTGATGATGATATAAGGCCAGATCAGCTAAGCTAAGGACCACAGATATGAATGTCTGCAGGCCAGGTAGGGAAGGGTATGATGGGGCAGAGGGGGGCAGTCAGGAATTGTAGGGAATAGAGACTACTACTCAGGGTGGCCTTTAGTCTGCCCTGGTCAACTGTTCACATGTGGAAATGGGTCAGTGATGTCAGGTCTTTACACTTTTCACAGAAGCTGACAGCTAGGTATTTACAGGAACTCTCATGCTTTGTAAATGTACACAACATATAATAATACTTAAAAGTACTGTGCTAAGCAGAACAAAACAGATTTGCTACTGACAAGGCTCCTCTATGCTGACCAAATGCTTTAACTTTCTCTTCCTTAATGACCAAGCAACTCTTACCATATGATCTAGCTGTTCCATGACACATTCTACAATTTCAGGCTTGCTTTCTAGAAGCTCGGGGGCAAATTTTTCATTCATCCAGGCCTAAAAAACAATGCCGAAGAAAACAGGTATCACTTAACAGTGGCTCAAAATAATCCAGGAAGTCAGTTAAACCCGTAAAAATCATTGACTTTGCAAAGAAAACTGTTTGGCTAGCTGGAAATATTGGGAATGCTTTGAAGACAAGCTATGCTTTATTGATGACTTTTCCACATCTTTTAGTGGGGAGGATGTGTTCATAACCATTTATTCAACTGTTATTTAAAAAAAAAAAAAAAATCACCATTTACCTCAGTTGCCAGTGTTAACTTAAGAGAGCAACGCCACCTTGTGTTCTGAGAGTTACTGGTCACCCAGGAACAGTAGCATCCAGCACGGCTGCTTCCCTGCAGGGGGCGCCACTCACAGTTTCCATCGTGAGAACTAATGGAGCCCTGAAATCTACCCATCTTTCCCACTACCTTTATACCATTTGGGACGAGATGGCTACAGGTATCCTCATCTTATAGATGGAAAAACAAAAACAGGTTAACTTTCTAATGGCATTCAAATTATAAAGGATCTTTTCAAGGTGTTGGAGAATGAGGTTAAATGTCTAATTTATGACTCGGGCCCTCCTCCTGTTCCGCATCTTTTGCAAATTAGGGAACTGAAGGTTTAGATTACTGAAATAAATAATCCTAGGTTATTAAGGAGAGCTAACTTCTTTTATCTTTCAACTACAGGAAATCGAGTGTCAGCATAGCTTGGAATTTATATCAGGCTCAACTTGTCTTTTCTAATGTCCTTGAGTCTGTTTCCCAAAAAACAACAACAAGAAAAAACATTAAATACTGAGTATTCTTATAATCATAAAATCATTTCTCAGGCGCTTGAGAGTCTCAATAGTGTTATTTTTATGTGTGCTGGGGATTGAACCCAGAGTCTTACACGTGCAAAGCCAAGTGCTCTACTAATGAGTTGCACCCCAAGCCCTGTAGCTATACCATCAATCTTTATAATGAGAATACAACAGATCGAACTTCCCGGAGAAGTTATCAAAAATCACTGATACAAACATTTGTGTATGTATGACTTCACTAAAGTACATGGTTATTAGTTTAAAAGTTCTCCTGTGTCTCTCCTTCTGTAATAGCCTGAGTTTTGTGTTTGTTTTTTTTATAGTTTTACTGCATTTGTTTGTACCTCTGCATAAAGCTTCCCAACCTTCTCATGACAGGACATTCAAAGAAAATGATAATGCTTTTATGTCACAGTGGGGCAAAATAATGTAGATTTGGGGAGATCTTTCATTTATGATCATAAAACACTAGGAAAAGTTTTCCATTTGTATAAATCTTTCAAATAAAATCTTCAAAATGTGTGGGGAGAAATTTGTGTTTAAATCCATGGTCATCAAAATACCAGGTGCCATGTGTCAAGTGGTAACATTTGGTTCCTAATAATTTTGGGGGAGGGGGTGGTGCTAGGGATTGAACCCTGGGTCTGACACATGTCAAGCAAACAATCTACCACTGAGCTACGTTCCCAGCCATGACCTGAATTTTTAATGACAGCCTGTCCATCATTGTTATGAGTTGAACTGTGTCTTCCTCTGAAACTCCTTCTGTTCGCTGGGTGTCCATACCTCAGCAATGGAGTGACTGCATAACGTGGAAGAAGCCCCAGGTTCTACCCCAGAAATGAAAAACAAAACAAAACAGAAAAACTCTGTATGTGGAAGTTCCAACTCCTAGTATATCAGAATGTGACGATATTTGAAAGACAGGGCCTTTTAAGAGGTAAGTGAGTTAAAATGAGGTCATTAGGATGGGTCATAATTCAACGATCTTTAGAAGAAGGAAAAAGAAGAAGTTTTGTCACAGGCACACACAAGAGGGAAAACCATGTGAAGACAGGGAGAAGACAGCCACCTCTAAGTCTAGAAGTCAGCTCTCAGGAGCAAGCAACTATGCTGGTGTCTTGATCTTAGTCTCTAACCAAATAAATTTCTATTGGTTAAGCCACCCAATCTTGTAGCTGTAGCAAACAAAATCATTGACAGAGACTTTGCACTGCACGCACTACCTCTTAAATATCTTTCACAGGCGTTCACCAGTGTGCTGTCCACATGCTCCCTGGCAGGCTGCTCCTAACACTGTGCCAGGCAGTGCAGGAGCTGTGTCTGGGCTGTGGCACTGTGCAGTGGTGGTTCACCTCTGTGTCTGCTCTCAGTACTGGATTGGGAAGAAGATACACTTGGGTCTCATGATCATGTACTGCTGAGCTGTGTTGTGTTGTGAGACCCCGCCACCTCAGGCCACCTAAAAACCAAGAAAAGCAAGCAGTCTGGGGCTCTGGCTGTCCCACTGGGCGGAGGGTCAACACTGAGGCATGGGCCAGGTGTGCTCACGCACACCTGTAATCCCAGCATTTGAGAAGCTGAGGCAGGAGGACTGCCATGACTTCAAGGCCAGACTGCATAGTGAGGTCCTGTGTCAAAAAAGAAACAAACAAAACTGTGAGGCACTGGTAGCACAGTGATGTGTTCCTGTGTTCGCGTGCCCCGTCATCCAAGAACATGAGCTCTGAATAATAGTCTTGCGAGCATGTGAACTTTATAGAAATGGTTTCTTCTGCAACTTGTATTTTATACTCCCTCTCCTTTTCTTTTCTGCTATGCTGGGAAATGAACCTATGTGAGAGTTCTGGAAAGGAAAGGTTATAGGAAGAGAACAAGAATAAAGCAGCAGTTGTAGTGAATTAAGAATACATGTTGTGGACCAGGGTGTAGCTGTGGTAGAGTATGTGCTTAGCATGTGCAAGGTCCTGGATTCAAAGCCAGGATGTTTTAGACTCAAAAGGACCGAGTTCATCTTGTTTCTGCTCCCCTTGTGTAACTTTGAAGAAAGTACTTTACATCTCTAAACTTCACTTTCCACATCTGAAAAGCAGAGACAACGGTACCTGCCCCACAGGGTAAGAGAGACTAGTACTAATAGCTAATTTTAGTGAGTGTTTATCATGTGTCAGACAACATGGAAGCACTCTGCATATATTATCCCAATTACTGCTCACAGCAATCACTATTTTTATACCCATTTTAAGTCAATGAGAGGAACGTGATAAGCTCTGTAAATTGCTTAAGGTCACAAAATAGGCCAAATGGCTTGGAGTGGATTTAAACTCTACCAGAGCTTCATGAGCTTACTGTAAAGAACAGTAACACAGTTACTGGCACACAGGAAATACTCAACAATTCACTGCTATTATGACAACAAGGAGAAATATCTCTAATTACTTTCTGGCACAAAAACACACACAATGACCAATGAAATAACTGAAAGTGGAAACAATCCCAGTCTTCAACAAAGGGGCCAAGAACATGCGCTAGAGAAAAGATGGCCTCTTTAATAGATGGTGCTGAGAAAACTGGTTATTCATATACAGAAAATATGTAGAAGAATGGATCTAGACCCGTATCTCTCACTTGGTACTAAAGTAAAATCAAAATGGATCAAAGACCATATTAAAGCAGAAACATTTTAACTGCTGGAAAATAGGTAAAACTCTTGACATAGGCATAGGCAAGGACTTTTTAAAAAAATTTTTGAGTGGCACATGCCTATAATCCCAGCACTTGGGAAGCTGAGTCAGGAGGATCTTTGCAAGTTTGAGACCAGCCTGGGCTACAAAGTGAGCTCAAGCCCAGCCTGAACTGCATAGTGAGACCTTGTCTCAAAAAGACAAAAAAAAAAACAACTTTTATTTTGAGACAGTCTTGCTGGCCTTGAACTCATGGCAATCCTTTTGCATCAGCCTTTGGAATGCACGCTGGGATTACAAGACCACCATACCTGGCAAGGATTTTCTGACCAGAACCTCAATTGCATAAGGAATAATATCAAGAATCAACAAATGGGATTATATCAAATTAAAAAGTTTCTGCACAGCAAAGGAAACACCAACAGAAGGAAGCTTATGGAACAGGAAAAATTTTTGCCAACTATGCTTTGGACAGAGGACTAATATCTATAATACACAAAGAACTCAAAAAATTAGACCCCCTCCCAAATAAAAGACCCAATCAAAAAATAGGCAATTGAAATGAACAGACACTTCTCAAAAAAGGAAGTACAAATGGCCAATAAGTACATGGAAAAATGTTTAGTATCTTTGGCCACTAGAGAAATGTAAGTCAGAACAACACTAAGATTCCATTTTATTCCAGAAAGAATGGCCACCATCAAGAACTCAAAAACAACAAATGGTAGTGAGATTGTAGGGAAAAAGCAACCCTTCTACAATGCTGGTGGGAATATAAACTAGTACAATCAGTATGGAAATTCTTCAAAAAATGAAAAATAGAAATTCTAATGATCCAGTATACCTCTTCTGAGTAATTTCCCCAAAGAGTCAAAGACATACTACACCGATACATCCATACCCATGCTTATAGCAGCACAGTTCACAATAGCTAAATGTCCTGTATGTCCACCAACTGAAGAATGAATAAAGAAAATGTGGTTATATATACACAGTGAAGTACTAGGTGGTCTTAAAGGGTAAATTTGAGCCAGTTGTTGGAAAATATATGCATTCTGACACCATAACAGTAAATGAAATAAATCAGGCACAAGGTTAAATATCACATTATCTGATAGAAGAAACCTAGACTATAATTTAAAGAAAATAAAAAGATAACAGGAAACAGAGATAGACTATGTGGAGATGGGAAGGAGATCTGGAAATGGGACAGAAGGAAGAGAAAGGGGAAATAAAAAGGATCAAGATGTGATATGTGATAAGATGTGATAATACCAATTCTCCAGGATGTATGTTTTTATTATGTATCACAAACACATACTAAGAAAAAAGGGGGAAAAAGAAGTTATTTTAGGAAAAATATAGAAAATTCAAAAGGAAGAATGTGACCAGTTTTTCCTTAAAGAAGGTATTTCAGCAATTTCTTGCTAACTCAGGCATTCTCCAAGAAGAAACAGCAGATATTTCAAGGGACTAAGACACAGAGCTCACAGGACACGTCTTCACTATACCTTCAGAGTCCCTGGAAATACAGGGTAGATCCTTGCTCTGTGAAACAGCCTACTTAAAGCTGCCCAAAGCTGTCACTTCCTGATCCAACATCTGACAGTGGGAGGATTCTAAAAGAATGTCTTCCTCACTTCCTGTTTTTGTGCAGACTTTCGAAATAAGCCTTGAATTCCATTTCCAGTTTTCTGAACTGCAACACGCGCCCAAGTGGTGTAAATGACAAAGCACAGATCAGAGCAGATTCTATGTGGCCCACTTACCTGCTCCAGCCTCTCAATGAGCTCTGCAGGCGTCAGGACGACCTCCTCGCTCTCCCCATCGGAGTCCTGTCCCGCAAGGTGCAGCTCCTCTGTCATCGTCTCTGAAACCAGGAATGGAATGAAAATGAACCAATACCCTGCTAGGTATTTGCTATTCATCTGCAAGAACACGCTACTAGATTATCTGGAAAAGCTTAATGGGCCATAGGGGCCGGTGGCAGCGGCTAGGGAACTCTGAGGCTGACTTTTCAGTGTTCTGCCTCCTCCTTTGGGCTGGGGTCAGGTTTCAATTTCTTAGAGATCTCCCGACGGCTATGTACACCGTGTCCATCCTGACTGGGCACCCACCACAATGGACAGTGCCTACTCTGGTCTGCGCTCACCTCAGTGGTTAATCCCACTCCGTTACAAGATGAATCGCGCCTGCGTTCAGGGCCTGGCACCGCTGCGCAGTGGGGTCACAATGGCTTGTCCCTGCCTGGCAGCGGTGGTAAGAAGGTCCCAAGGGGCGACACTGCCACCCGGACCCACACCCGCTCCCGAGAGGCAGAGGCGGCCGGCCGGCTCCCTCCGAGGAGCACCGCGGACGGACGGAAGGGAGGACAGACAGAGCGCTCCAGCAGAACGAAGCTCGCGAGGATCCTCCGCTCCCACCCGACTCCCGCGCTTCCTTCCCGCGCTCCTCTCGCAAACTTTCCGCCAAGCGCAACGTCACCGCGCACAGGCGGCGCTTACCAATCACGCCCCGGGGAAGAGAGCGGCAGCCGTCCTGGCCACGCCCACTAGAGGGGCTGGCGCTAAGGCCACAGTCCTGGCTGACACCAGCCGGGATCTCCAGGAGAGGGCGCTCGCCAAGTCGACTGAAGAAGCCCGGCGGAGTCCACCTTCGCGCCTGCGCAACCCTAGTCGTCGCTCTGGTCGGCGGAGAAATGGGCAGTTCACATCAGGCCACGTCTCCCGGTCATCTCCTGCACCTGAGCCTTTTGTGGCCCTTTGAGTTACTTCGTCTTTGCCAGGGCTTCAGCTGCGGGCCCTAGTAGTTCTAAAACCTCTAGGCTAGTGGTTCCTGCAGCGGGGGAGGAGGCCGCAGGATCAACATCACCGACACCTGGAGAAGATGGGGTTCTCCGTGGCAGGGCCCGGACCCTCCAGGTGATCCGGATCCTGGAGATTTAGGAAACACTTAATGAGGCAGTGACTCCTTTCGGCTCTGTCTCCCAAGCTCATTCCGACTGGTAGGGAAAGGCAAGCCTACCACTTGTCTATTCATTGCCTTGGTGAGATCAGCGTTTCTTCTGAGTTACTGACGCTTTTCTCTTCTGCTGTTGTTTGTTTTTCTTTTTTCTGTGCTGTATCACTTCTGACATCCCTAGATGTCTCTTCCCCACCAATCCAAAGACTGTGGGAACTTTTCCTATGCCCTGTTGATTGATGATAATAAAACAGGCTGGCTAATTGACAGGTAATAGTGCTTGCCTGATTGCAATTGTGTATACAAATTGCAACAATATCAAGTGAGAGTGAGTTCATTTACATAGAGCTGTGAAAGTGGAGTCCATCAAGGAGGGATTTCCAAAAGAAAGTGAATTTGAGCTATCTTTTAGAATGTGTTTTGTGAATGACAAATGAACTTTTCAGGTGTTTTTTAAAGCTCCTGTTCCAATGGTTTTGTTATCCACATTTTGCTATCAATATTCCATCAAGGCCATTTGCTCACTTGCTTTTTTTTTTTTTTTTTTTTCTCAGTGCTAGGCAAGTGGTTTACCACTGAGCTACACCTCCAGCTCTGTCCTTGCTTTTTAAATCTGGGAATACGTTTGTAGCTGATTTGACCAGGAGAATTTGTCAACAGGGATGTTGCATGGCTTCCAGGACTAAGTCCTTACAGGCCACAGCTTCCACCTGGCTCTTTTCAGGGAGCTGCATCCTTTGGGAGCCTAAGTGGATGTAGAAAGACTGGCTTCCTTACAGCTGCTGTTCCGTGTGGAATGGTCACCCAGAAAGAGCCTGACTTCTGCCTCTCAAACGGTGAATGATTCATTCAGGTAACACTGAGGGGAGCAGAAATGAGCTGTTGCTGGTTGTGCACAAAACTAAGGTTGTTTTAAGGCCTTGAGTCTTGGAGGGGTTTATTATGCAGTATTAGATGACTGAACACTGGTGTTTGAGCACAACTCTATTCTTCCATAATTTTCATTACTACTAACTTTTTCAGTGACTTCATTAACATTCCTAAGTGTTACAGATTAGAGTTTAAGCACAATGTTTCCACACAAAAATATCCCTTCTTTGGGATCTACTGCTGCTACCTAGTCCCTCACTTCTACTCCTCTGGTAGGGAGTGGGAGTCATTATTTAACAGAGGTGTGACCTTGAACAAACCTTTCTGGGCATTGTTAAGTGAGAATAAAGTGAGTCCTACCTGTCTTTCAGTGTTTACCTGAAGACAGAGAGATAGACTGAGAAATTTGGGAGACTCCTTTTGCTTCTAAGATTTTTTTATTCCAGCTATTTATCAGACAAAAAACATTTAGAGAAAGATATATTTGCAGAGCAATGTTTTTAGTATGTAAAGGAGTACTAAACTGGGTGTGTTGGCTGGTGTATATCTGTAATCATAGCACTCTGGGAGGCTAAGGTAGGAGGATAAAACCTCAAGTCCCACCTGGGCAACTTAGTGAGATTCCATCTCAACATAAAGAAAGGGGTAGGGATGTATCTCAAGGTTCAATCCTCAGTACTGAAATAATAGTCATAATAATAATAAGAATCCCCAGTACTGATGATGATGATAATAATAATAATAATAATAATAAAGACACATTTTAAAAAAATGAAGGACGACAAATGTGAAACAATTTGTCACATGCTCGAAAGTCCAGGAAGGTGGGAGAAAGACAGCCTTATGTTACAGTATGTAAGAGGAAAATCAGAAACATCTGGTTGATGTACACTTTATCAAGTTATCTAGACATCACCATAAAATGGACCACTGTTCATTAAAATGATCATGTAAAAAGGGAAGTACACGAGTTATGATACCAGGAGGAGGAAGTCTCATGGTGAGAAGTGTATCTGCTGGACATAATTTGTAGGTGAGCTCTGATGATTGCAAGAGCAAGATGAACATGCGAATAAGAAGTTAGAAAAGGTACAAACATGGCAAGAGAAAAGCTATTGCTTAAATGTGAAGAGGATAATAAAATAGAATCTAACACAATTAAGAAAGTGACAGGTTAATGCAATTCCCAGACATTTCTTAAGACAGTAATAGTATTTAAAAAAGGAAAAAAAGATGGTATAATGGTTGATACATTGTGTCAACTTGGGATCTTTATAAGTTTAACTCAGGAGGGCCAGGGTCCTTACTTTGGAAACATCCTGAGCTTGTGGAAGAGAGCTCTGAAATAATTAGGCAGATAGCTGGCATGCAATATAAGGCAGGAAAAGAGGCTTGCTACCCTCTTTTTGCTCTTGCTGCTTTTGCTGCCTTCTGCTGCCTTGAACTGTTGCCCCTCTGCCATGCCACCCTGCCTTGGAGCCAGGTGATTACAGACTGAAACCTCCACAAACTGTAAACTAAGTAACTTTTCCTTCCTTAATTTTGAGTGTTGGGTATTTTGTCTCATCAAAGAGAGAAAAGAAACCAAGACAGATAGACTCAAAGGTTAGAGTGTTAGTTGGCTAGGCAAAATGTTTAGAGGCAGGTGCCTATGTTTGCATGGGGTGGGGCAATCTTGTCCTTTTAAGTGAGTGCTGACATCTCTTCAAGATTTTATTTATTTCAGGTAAGTCCCTTCAGAGAAAGACACAAGGAGCTGGCCCAAAATAGCCAGGTCATGCTGTCATTCTTTGAGGCGCCCCGGAGTAAACTGTGCTCATTATAATACTATCAATATGCAGGTTTCCCTAATAAAATCCTCTCTCACCTGTATTTGGGAAGGCATAGCTTTGGGAGTTCTCTTAGGGGTCTTCTTAAGTATACAATAATTCTCTCTTCACTCCTTTGTCTGTAGGTTGTGCCAATTGGCTTTGCATTCACCAAGGTGTGAATCTTTGTGTTTGACGACAGAATTGCAATTTGGTACACTTAATTAGTGCATTCCTGAGTAGTGTCCTATAAAGCAAGTGTAGAAAAGGTTTTTAAATGAGAGATTCCCCCAAACATTTGTTTTTGGAGGCAGTTCACTGGCTGGGCAGAAATCCCAATTTGAAAACTCACTCTGATTGCTCAGTGAATCAGGATACTGACTTCATTTTATCCAAGTCTGTTGGGATATTGTATAGTTTAACCTTTTGCAGGGGGTGGGGAGTGCAACCTGCTCAGAATCACCTGGTTCCACTTTAGAAAGTCTTAACATTAATTACTTCACTTTCCTTCACAGTATCTATTGCAGACACAGCAAATAGGAACAGTTAAAATATTTGTCCACAGCTGTATCAGTCAGTGCTTACTAGAGAAAACAGATTTAATATAAGATATGCAAATATATAAAAATTTACAAGATTGACTTACAGTGGCCTCCTACAGAATCAGGCATAGAAGAGTGCAAAAGTTCTGTCTCCACAGTGGGGATCTGAAGGAGCCAGTCCAACAGCTGGAGCTCAGTGTAGTGCCCCGTGTGAGTCTGTATCAGGAGGCCAAAGGGTCTGCACCAGAAGGCTGAAGTATAAGTCCTGGAGGCTAAAGAGTCTGCGCTAGAAGGCAGGAGAAAACATCCAAGGTGAAACTGAAGATGAGCTCCTCCAAAGAAAATAGAAAACAAAAAATCCTTCCTTTTTTCTTTTCCTTTTTTTATCATTCTGGTGATAATCTTCCCGTTGTCTTACTTAAATTGACACAATCAATGAACTATCACAGTAGCTCTGGAAACATTCATAAGAAGGAAATCAATTTTTAAAGTAACTAAGGGTATATGACAATACTTAATGACTGTGCAGGCCTGTGAAGTTTTCTGGAGGAAGATGGTGTTATAATATCCTCTTTCCCTGTTTGATCAACAGCTGTTTCTCATGATATCCTTCATCAGAATTTCATCATACTTATGGCCTCACTACTGAAGCATTAAGTTTAGGGAGTGTGTTTAAGTTAGGGAGTGAGCATTTTAATCCCCCAGTCTTTCTGAATGAAGAGTTTCACTAAGGGTAAGAATGTCAGACATCTTGTATGACTAAGGGTGGCAGAAAGGTTCTTTAGAATGTCTCCTTTTAGCCTCAAAGGAAAGGTATTGGTTGGTAAATGTGTGTTTTTCTGGCCAGTGGTAAAACCTAATACCTTCATGTGTGCGTGAGATGCTGAAAACTCAGAGAAAAGGGTCAGGTTTGGGTCTCCCTTACATCAAAAACTGTTTACTCACTACAAAATATACAGGACTGTGGAATTTTTCTTTTTCTTTTTTTCCCTTTAGGACCTTTACTTTGTTCTAAAATCACTGAAGCAAAAATCATAAAACTTTCTCATTTTCTTTACAACACACACCCCAAAAAGCATTTGTAGGAAAAAGTGGTTTTGTGCATGAGATGAAACAATATAAACTCAAAACTTACAGGTAAGGGTCAGCTTTATCACTCATCTCTTTAAGAAGCTCGTGAACCTCCAGTCAAAGCCAACAGGGCACATGTCTCCTGAAACATCACCCATCACTTTCCACGTAGAGCACAGGGTGCGCACCGTTTTGGAATGGGCTCAGGAGGCTCTGTCCCAAACAAAGCCCAGAGTCGTCTTCTCAGCGGAACAGGTAAAGACAA